ACACGTGAGATCCACAAGCTGTTTATCGAGAACGTAGAACCCAAGCTCAATGCATGAAAGACATTATAGCCTTTGAAGGAATTCGCCTTGATAGTTGCCAATGAGTAAAGTGTGTCGACCTAACGAGCTCTGCGCTCAGACAGAAACTTTTAACGGCATTTTTTCCCGGTGATTCTTCAAGGAAGACGAGAGGCAGCTGCCCGGTGATGTTGGCGGCATTGCAGAGATGTAGTGTTGGTAATCCAAGTACCGGCGAGTAAATGATACTTTTCTAGTGTCTGTGAAATCTCGAGCTTTCGTAGTGTTGAATGCAACCAACCATAATAGATGTATCGTTCGGGTAGATTTTTCGTAAACAAGGATAGATTGTTGGAAGTAACCTTGCCTGCTCACCTTTTTAGGCGTGTCCTACCGAAAAAAGCTACGTGTCTTTGATAGTTCTCTGGCAGAGGGATCTATATTAGAGACGGCTGTGCACCAGAGCAAAGAAAGCGGGGGTGGGAGGCAAACGGCATATCAGGGGAAGGAGCCGAAACGAAGGATATTAAAGTACTTGTTTTCTTCGAAAATATGGACTTGTTCAAGTTTCTGTTGACAAACAATTACTATGTTTTCTTTTTTAGTGACACTTGATTGAAACCTGAACACTCTTTCTCTTCCCTTCTTGGATATGCTGCAGCCAGAAATAGTGTCTTGAAGTCTGATCCTTCCAGAAGAGGAGCATAGATTTTTTCCTGACGCGAAATGGGATTTCCGTTATTTTGGTTTTGCGAGACGGTTGAGGATTCCCTGGAAGCAAGGTGTATATATGATATGACGCTTGTAATTTTCGAATGATTGTGGTATACAGAGCGCCTTCCTGCTCCGAAGAGAACTCAGCTCGTCGGAGGAGATCCCTAGTGCTTAGAGGCTTCGTATCTTGAGGAGCTTTTCATATCATAGTGCTGTCATTGGGATCCTTCTTCTTCTGGGTCGTCCACTGTGTTTGCCCTCAAGAAATGTCTCACTGTAACAATCTGACGAAGCAGGTTACGGAGCCAAATAGAGGGAAGAATACCCTGCGCTACTCTTTCCGTTCCATCGCCATTTCTAAGCCTAAGGAATGGGTTTTTTGTGAAATTAAGTGATCACAGAGTATAGGATTTGGGATTATTTGTATTTTTCGTTATCCCAACTACATACCGTCGTATATATTCAAGACTGCATGTATGGTTCTGCTATAACTTAACCTCGATATATTTTCATTCGAGTCAATGTACCCCGTGGACTCTTTTATTAGAACCGAAAATTAACGTGAACGAGAAGCATGAGTGTTCCAAATCCATTCGTCTTCCCCAACGATTGTAGGGAAAGCAAAATTATCGGAATCTGCAATGCTCGATGGTTACATAGGTATGTGAGCGATAGAAACAATTATTTCAAATCCGCCAGTTGCCTGAGAAAAGGCATGAGGATCGCAGAACCACTCCCTCGGACAAAGAGATCATGTTGGCCGTTCACTTGGAAAGTGCCTCTCAGGACGGCACTCGGAAGGTTCTTCTGGTTTGCTTCTTTCAAGCCTAACATTAAATGGCCTTGCTCCTCTTCTGTCATTGGGGGGTACGGCTGCTCTTTCTCATCCGTAGGGTGACTTCATTCACCAGCGAGCCTCCTGCTTATATATTATTCAAGTCATTATTATTAGGTTATGTTCTACCGCACTGAAAGCACTTATTCGCATAGAACTCAGAGAGTTACCGGCCTGGAAGCATCAAGTCTTATTCTGCAAGCTACCTGAGGAAGTTCTGGAGGACCATGTCAATCGTCATTTGTCGCACGTCGCGTCAACCTTATCAACACGGATTAGTCCTGTCCCTCCATTGAAACAAACGTTGAGTGTATAGGCGATTCTGCGAAAATTTTCGATTGTGGAAGCTGCTGCCATGTAATTTCCTTGACATTGTAGAAGCATTTGAAAGGGTCATAGTAAGAGAATGCTCACAACTTGGAGATTCTCAGATTCCTTCTGTACTCATTGAATTGATTTCCAATCATCTAAGCAATAGAATTTTTGAGGTAAAACTTGTCAAAAATTTTCTGGTGCCAGATGGGGCCAAAAGCGGCGTGCCCCATGCCGGAATGTTAACGCCTATTCTTTTTGACTTTTGAGTTACCCGATATGTTCAAGGAAGCAGGTTGTTTCAGTGAGAGTCTATGCAGACGATAGACTGTATAGGTAGAATACAGATAATTTACGTAGGATTATAGGTTTGTATTTCACAATTTGCAATTGTACAATTTCGTATTTGGAGGGCCCGCGAATACAGCGGCATTGCAGAGGCTGTACCGTTCACGAAGATATCCATGTGGGAGATTCAAACAACTTGTCATAATGCATAGCAATAGTGAAAAACAGTTCTGAACAGTTTCGACTTGAGGCAGTCAGTTCTTTACGCAACTGCAACAACTGATTTCTCATTAAAATACCCCTTCCATATCATTTTTATGGCAACCTCGTACAAACTCTATTTAGAGTACTTTCAAGCAGCCTTATTTTCCATAAAATAGGTTGATCTTCTTGTCTACTTTACAACCGGTGCGCTAATCTCAACCGAGCTTGAAGCTATAAAATAGCTTTGCATGCAAGAGCACATACAAAATCTCTATTAGGCGCCAGTTTCTGAGCTTTACTCAGCCACGAGTTTTTTATTATTATAACATTGCCACTCAAATCTGAAGCGGTCCGGAGAAGGCTTTCTTCGATATATTTTTCGAGGATTCCTTGGTTTTTTTCCGGTGACAATGATAGATTCGTGCCGTACTACTACTGAGTTGATTATCTTAAGCTCTGGCTAATTCATTTTTTCCCAAGTTTCTGATTGAATGAAAACCAATTTCGTAAAGCAGTAGTCAAATATAATGGGTAGAAGGCTCTAATTAGGAGTCAGCAGGTCTGAAATGCTCTATTCATTATAGTATTATGGGCCTTCACAACTGCAGCTGCTCTACTCCAACTTCTCCATTGATTGGATCAGCCCGTATATTGTTCGCGTCATCTTGCTTTGTCATCATCGTTGCCTCCATCGTTCTACAGGCGATTTTTGCTCTGGTAAGAACTCTTAATTCGAGCTTAAATGTATAATCTCAGAAAGGTTGCCCAATATGCTAATTGATGTAAAAGTTAAATTCTATTTTTCTAAGAGTACCAGTGCAAAAACGCCCAAACAAGCCCGCACGCCCGGGTAACGGAACTTCTCCCCGATTGCGGCATTCTCCCTTGCGGCATACGGCAAATGTCACTGCAACTACCATACTCCCCCGCCTCCCTGCCAATCGATAGGACGCGAAATTTTTCGTTAATTGCCCTTCTTTTTTATTAGATTTGATCGTTTTTGTCTATTTCTTTTCATTTTTATGTTTATCAGACTTGACTAGTCAGAAGGACTCGTCCTATGTAAGCGACGATCAAGAATGCATTGAAATTGAAGAGAGCGGTCAGCCAATCCAAATAATTAAAGACCTCCCTACCTCACAAACTGAGCTCTCTAATCTACCATCGCAATCCTGCGATACGCGGCGGGTGCGGCGTGCGCGACGCCGTCTTCAGGGAGAAGTTCCCAGACCTGAATTGAATTCATTATTTGACCACTGCAAGTCCACCGTCTTTTCAAATCCAGTTATTTCTGCACATGTGGATGAGACTAGGATGTGAGTACAAAAGGGGACAACAGCTACCGCTGAAGATCGAACGATACGCCCTGGAACGTCACTACCATTCTGAATGGAAATCAAAGGGATCTGTTGGCTGCTATCCCCTTTTTTTCTAGGCACGGCAGGTCATTCACAGATGCAGACATATAATATTTTAATGCAGGTACATATGTGTCATGAATTATCAATGCATTCGATTAAGTATTCTATGGATGCTCCTTGCTGATCGCTTTCTCCAGTTGATTTATTTAATTATTTTATTTTTTCCAGACGTGCCAGAAAATTAAAGGATGGAAATCGGACTTCGCTTTCTATCTTCTCCAGCTCATGGCATTATTCAGCCTTCTAAGCTACATCGGATTCTTGGCGTCATATATTCATGGACTTATCCTCTTCGATTCACACATACTCTCGAGGGTAAAACTCGATCTGAACCGACAGATTTTCCCGTTGAACATTCAAAAGCAATTGATCCGCAAACCCGCTTTTGTCTCCTATGCAGTATGAGCAACCTTCAACCACCCACTGTCATTTTCGTTCTTTTTCTTTTTTCACCCATAATTCATTTAGAGAAAGGACTGACGAATAGATTTACGATCCTTACTGTCTCCATTCCGGACCTTATCCAGCTTCCCACATTACCCCTCGACTGCCCTTCCTGAGATTCCTCATCACAGTTTGGTTATGCATTGAGCAGCGATTCAATTTCAGGCAATGGGATCTAACTATCTTGGCAGCTGTTTCTCTTTCGTAATCGCCAACTTGTGTCTCACTGTTCATCGTCTATTCTATACTCTGCTTCCGCTAAGATCACCGTTTATTCTCACGAAGACAGTTGAGAAGGTAACCTACTAGAACTCCATCTCATTCTGATTATAATAACCCATCCTACAGTAAAATTCGAAGGCTGCCAAGACAGAGTAGCGTTCGTTAGGCTGTTACGCCGCTGATCACTTCTGACCTTTGGGGAAACTCCGTTGCTCTAAGAAGCCTCCAATTCTCTGCTATTTACTTTTACCTCCTCCAGTGTTTGGTTCTGAGAATCCAAGTTGCCCCTTAATAGGGATGAATGGAAGAGTAGCATGAAGTCTTTGGAAACAGCACCTTGAATGTACGAACCGAAACCCTCAAGGGATTGCACTAACTCACAACCGAGCTTGCCATGCAATTTTCATAATGCTAGGCAGATTTCTTTCGTTTACTGGACCATTACGATATAATGATCGATCACTCATCAGCAGATATGTATATCTTCCATTTTACTTTTCTATGTCGTGTTCATTTCGTTTACATTATCGCCGTTGGCATCTATGGGATTCTGCCCTGCCCAGTTTGTTTACGTTTATGATCGAGTAACTGCATCGTGAGTTCGAACATTGTACGATCCCATTTTAGTTATTAGTTTCAATGATTGTTTATATCCCAGAATAAATCGACTATTTAATTACATGATTGGTATAGTGAATGTGACAGCTTACACTCTCATGTTTGCCACATTGTTCATCAAAGGATCACTTACCTTCAAACGAAACAACGAAATACGCATGACTGTCCAGGTGAAAGAATTCTATTCGAAAATTTATCTAATCGTAATTCTATTAATAATACATTTTGTCATTTACTGAGTAATACATTAGTCCAATAGGCACGACAAAGATGATTGCCATTCGTTCAGCTTTTTTGGCCTTCATGCCCCGTTCAACCTTATTTTGAATTTCTATTGTGATAGATACAACTCTGAAAGGTCAACCTATGTGTTTGACGTGGATCTTTTGTGTCTGGAGCCTGCATATAGCATAAGGAGCTTAAATCGATCTTGAAAATTTGGCTCAGTGTTAGTAACTCCTACTACTAATGATTGTACACCGGATGTCACTGCCACGTTTTTTTACACTAGTTCTTCTGAAACTCACCCGATGGGAGAAAATGCTTGCATGGTCGTGTTCTTCATTTTCGAACAACACGAACATGGATGCATCGAGCACGTTTAGAAGAATCAGCGTAAAAAATGTTCATTTCATGCGGTTTTTTCAGGCAGCACTAACATCTGTATGCGAACTGGCCTTCTTCCTTTATTGGGAATATGGAACGGAAGGTTCACTATCTTGTCGACGTACTCTGGCCACCTTTACCATGCTTATTTACTACGACGTTCTTATCCTCCCCTATATGATCTTTAATAAGTGAGTTTCGATTAATCTGCAGACAGATTGCTCATCTATATTTTGCCTTTTCAAAGAATCCATGAATCTATCTATCTATCTATCAATCTTCCGTCATCGCTTTTCACAAAAACGAATCTCCTATCAAAAACAAGCAGTCGATCAGACTCTGTTTTGTATTGGGCCATACATTGCTCATAAAAAAATGTTACACGGAAAACAGTAGTTATTCAATCTCCATCATTTGAGGCTTGTTGTAGAAAAACTTATTTCGAAAAAAAAACTGTTTTGTTCCGAATCTAATAAGTTTGTTTACGGAAGTTAATGTGATGATGGCTCTTTTCAGGACAGTCAGAACTGGAATGAAGAACCTTTTCTACAAACAAAAACTCAGAACAGCGATTGTGGCCTTCCTTGATCGGTCAAGAAGTGCACCGCGACAAAGGCAAGGCGTATGAGATTTCATTAAATAAGTTCCAGATATGGAAGGCAACAAGTACCTTCGACCAAGTGCACTGGCCGTCTGAGCTTGATGTACTGGCCCATTCCTGAATGAGTTCCCGGTGACTTGCTCAGTTTAACTACGGTAGGGCAGGTCATGCTCTTTACCATACCAATGAGGAGTGCACTCGGGTGTGGGAATGGGCCAGCACCCAGTGTCACCCTTGATCTTGAATATGTGGTAGCAATATATTATAAATAGTTATAATTATTATAGAAATGTAATAAAATCATTATAAAATGCCTATATATGAACTCGTACTGATGTGTCAGTGAAACCTATAAATGCGTTGCGTTTAGAATATGTCAAATATTAGAGTTAGAGGGTTATGCTCACATAAATTTCGTGAGAGTGTGTAATAAATAATTTTCCATTCTGAAGTCAACTACTTCTGTATTCAATTGTTACAGTATATGAGGAACAAAGAGGCTCGACCATGTTAGAAAGTAGGGTTCGGGATCGATTCTCTGGCCCGATCTCTAAAACCTGCCATTCTAATGGGGTCGGTTGAGGTGTGTAGTATTAAAATGGTAATTAAGGGGGTGCTGGTATGCCCGCAGATAGCTAACCACACTGTTTTTGGGCCAGAAATGCCTTCCCGACGTGAGAGGAAAGGCTTGAGCGGTATACTACATATTCCAGTAATGGATATAGGACAGAGATCAGAAGAAAGAGTTTCCCACCGCTACATTTAATTGGCTGCAATGGCACTTCTTTACAACTGGAGTGGAAAAGGCTGTAAGGAAAGGCTCTATGTGAGCCAGTGGCGCAAAATCAGTCAAAGAATGATTTGTGAAATCCAAAATCGAGTTACGAATAGGAGGACGGCAGTTTACGAGCATGTAAGAATACATACATTCCGAGACAATCACAGGAATGAACACTTCCTGCTTCCCTTTCTGCCACTGAATGTTCCTTCACAAGTTCTTTCAAGGTTGAATACAGAAATTAGCTTATCGTGGGGGTCATACCTTTCAGTTTTAAAACTATAACGTCTTCTTCAGAAATGCTCAGTGGAATTATTGGAGCCCTTTTTGTGTTTTATAAAATAAGAATATCAGCACAATGAGCGTAGTAAGTAGATCCCCTTTTCGGGTAAGTGAGGATAGAAACCAGCCACTATAGCCAATAAACCACTCGGGTGAATAATACTGTAGCCATTATAGGTGAGTATAGACAATTATAATTTAATTTGCCCTCTGGATAAAGGAAATGCAATCCTATACTGACATAGTAAATCTCTGAATGAGGATTCTGAAGCAACTGCGGAACGAAATCAGAAGAAACAAAGGAGATGGGGAAGCATATTTTGTTAACTGTTAGCCCTTCCACTTTCGTCCAATTCCCCAGAAAGTTTATACACTTAAACACAATAATTTAGTAAGATGGCCATGAAACATATCCGCTTGTTACCCTACACTCTGTTAGGAAAATTGTAAGCTATGGTGTAAATTAGTAAAGCTATCAGGACCCTTTTATCAACCTTGTCTCTATACGAAAACCACGGTGGCTTCGCACTATTCAATCCAGAAATGACCATTTATTCCTGCTCAGAATTTCACAGACTGAAAACAGTGTTGTATCCATCCATAGTCAGGGTCAACTAGTCGGACACGAGGCTCCAGGGTGTAATCGTATATGTGTTAGGGAGTGTAAAAAAGAAAATTCGACAACATCCTGACAACCCTTCTGCGAGTATCTTTGGAAATCAATTTTCTACCTTTTCCTGGGTCCTTGGGCAATTTTTCCAAATCTCGCCTTTCACAAAGTAGTCCAAAAAGTAAGATACGTTAATTGAGTCACATCATTTCGAAAAGATCTAAAATCCCAGACCAAGTCAGATTTTCAGAAGATGCATAGGAATTGAAAAAAATCATTTTCTTCTGAGATATTTCTTGACTGCGATTTTTATGACTACATTACATTAGCTCTTGGCTTATCAAGAACGCCGCCCCACAACTCACTCAACTTCTTTACAGCAACACAATCACAAAGTGATTTTCGGCGGACTCTTTCTATTCAGAATTTACTGCCTACTGTATTGAAGCAAAGCTATTTTGCTTTGATAGTCAGTACTTTTTTACCTGATAATAGTCAACATTTATGAGGATGGGAATTAGAAAGGCTATGGTGGCAAAGTATCACATTTTCAGCTAGTTCTGTACGTACTCAAGCCCTAAACATACCCCTTAAAGGCACAGTTCACGATAATTTTGGGTAATCAGATAATGATGGTAAATGGAAGACAAGATCGAAACTAGGGGAAATTAGGTGAAGAAACTGCGTGCATCGGTGTTTCCAAAGTGAAAAAAGGCTTCGAAAAACCGTTAAAAAGGGAACTGGACGAAAATGAAACCAGAAAAATGAAGAAGAGTGGGCGTCCGGACGAGCTAAGCAGTGTGTTTCACTGCGCGCGTGTGGGTCCTGCTGCGAATAACAGACAATGATAAGCAAAAATTCACTCACTTATAAGCATAAATAAACAAAAAAACCCTAGTAACAGCAAAAGTTGCTCACCTTTTCCAGCCTCAAGGAGTAGCAGAGGAAAAAAGAATGGGAAAAAAACATCGGCTCATCACTCGGCGATTAGCTGATTGTGCGTGGGTCCTAGAACGAATAATAGCAATCTGTATTGTCTCGACACTCGTCTAACGTGACACCGATCGAGGGGCGGGCACGCGAACTACGGCAAAAACGGAGCTGCCGCTGTGCCCTGGACGTCGAGATTGGCGGAGTGAGAGGGTCCCTTCTATCACCCAAGTGGAGCGCTGAGTATTCCTAAAGGAAGAACTCAGTAACCTTTTCATCGTGAACCGTGCCTTTAACTGCCCACNACGCGAACTACGGCAAAAACGGAGCTGCCGCTATGCCCTGGACGTCGAGATTGGCGGAGTGAGAGGGTCCCTTCTATCACCCAAGTGGAGCGCTGAGTATTCCTAAAGGAAGAACTCAGTAACCTTTTCATCGTGAACCGTGCCTTTAACTGCCCACCATTCTTTAACTACGTTTGGATGGATTGGGCAACTTGGTGTGTCAGTAAAGGCTCATAAAAGCCTCTGAGTGACACCAGTTTGTTCGCTTTTCTTCGGTTTTAGTTCCTTTTATTATCACAGCTCGAATTCAAAGTCATATGAGACTTGTTCGGTAATCTTTTTTTGTGGGAAATTTTCGGGTTATTTTTGATAATAATTTTTTTTTCTTCGTGAAATATTGTTGCAATTACTAGCTTTTACTTATAGTGCCAAATTTTTCCCATGAACTCTATCGAAGGCGTAGGCAAGAAGCTGAACCACGTGACTATATTAGCAAATTCAGAGCTCTCGATATCTCACGATCTTTTTTTTTTCTCAGAAAAAAAAACCTCCCCTTAGCTCATTCAACTATAAAACCTGCAAATTGAAAAAATCTGGTTCTCATTGGATAATGAGTGACTTCAACTGCTCCACTCCGGCTTTTCCACTAATCGGTTCAGCCCGAATATTTTATGTGGCATCCTGCACTGCGATCATCATTGCCTCCATGGCACTACAGACAGTTTTCGCTTTGGTAAGAGCTTTTAACCATAAAAATGTCATAAATTCGAGCAAGTATGATAGTATAAACCCTTGGCTGACTCATTATGTTTTGGAGGGGCACAGTATTGAGCGCTGTTCATCCCTTCGGGATACGCCATGTATCTTGCGGTCAATCACAGATTTTGATCATTATTTAACAGATCTCCTAACTGTGTTCAAAGCCTCCCCTATTCTTACCGGCCCAATCAGTGAATGATCCAATCTTCTTTCAGATATGCCAGAAAATGAAAGGCTGGAAGTCGGACTTTGCTTTTTATCTTCTTCAAATCATGGCAATATTCAGTTTGCTTTTTTATACTGGAATGTTAATCTCATATATACATGGACTTCTTCTTTTCGACTCACCTGAAGTTGCAAGAGTACGATTACATCTACACTAGTAAATCTTTTTCAGAAAACGCCTCCCTCCAATAAACTCCTCCCCTGTGACAGTATCCATTTTTTTTACGAAAAATATGAATTACAACAGTATGAACTGAGCTTTGAAAAAGTTCTTGCCCAACGGATTTTGCATTTCAAAAGCAAAGAAAACTACTGAATGATTTCCTGCAAGGATTAGTTCATTCTGATTCTTTGGTTCGGAGTCAATAGTGCGGAATTCATCCCATCACTGACTAGCCCTGTTAATTTCGTCCTCTTTCCTTTCTTAAAGCGAGTGCAGTTTTCCATCGAATATAGCGATTCGGATTCTGAATGATTTTTAATGCAGCGATGATGATTCAGAATGAGAGCTTTTTCATGGGAGCTATCTCCTAGCGATTTAATGTATTCCAGATAACAGGATCCAACTATCAAGGCAGCTTTCTTGCATTCGTTATTGCCAATTTGTGCCTGACCGTTCACCGTCTCTTCTATACTCTACTTCCATTCAGATCACAAGTTATTCTAACAGCAACGGTTGAAAAGGTATTTTTGCATTATAACTTCCATCCTCATGCTAATTAAACGAGTCTCACCCAAAAAAGAACAGTGAAGCTTAGGTGGGGAGAATCTGTTTCCAAAGAGGCTTTGCGTTTTAATAGGTGACTTGGTTTAGTTTGGTGATTAAGCTTGCTCCTGAAGGTCCTTATTGGAAGCTGGACCTATCCTGAAATCTCGATCAAATAAGATATCGAAGAATGAATTGAAAAAACTTATGAGTACTCTGGTTCAAGCTTGTTGGTCTTCCTTTTGGACCAACTTTTTGAAAACGATGTGTTGAAACTCACTTGAGTAGGTGTGGCGATTTGGATTTGAAAACGGTTCAGATGGGTGTGGCTGAAGACCGCTTCAGCCAGAGCATGCTTGCACTAGGAGGGGTAGTAGGACAAGTGAAAACTTTTGCATCGCCTACTATCCACGGTCACTGCGATTAGATAACATCATCAATCGCTATTTTTGA